TACAATATCCAATTAGTAGCAGAATACACCAAAGATACAATATGGAAAAATATTTACCAGTAACAGAACTGGTGGTATGGTTTGAGTATTTGTGCCCCATCAATGTTAAATGTTAATATTATACTGTCTTGGGAGGTGATTAAAAAGGACAGAACCCCCATGAATGTGACTAGCACCCTTATAAAAGTGGAGTAAGTACGATCACATGAGGACAGAGCAAACAGGCACTGACCACAGACCAGAAATTGAGTCTTCACCAGATACAAAATCTGCCAATGCATTCATACTAAACTTACTAGCTTCTACAATGGCAAGGAATAAATCTTAATCCAGTCAGAACAAGCTATCAAGAATACAAAAAAAAAAAAAAAAAAAAACCCTTTTACACTGCTAGTGGGAATGTAAACTAGTAAGGCCACAGTGGAAATCAATATAGAGCTAAAACAGAGTTACCATTTGACCCAAATATACTGCTCTTGTGTATATCTAAAGGAATTACAGTCAGCATACTAGAGGTATACTTGCATAACCATGTTGATTAAGGCACAATATATAAAAGCTAAGATATGGAACCAGCTTATTTGCCCACCAACAAATGAACAGATAAAGAAAATGTGTTATATATACACAACGAAATGTTATTCAGGCAAAAGAGAACTATATTAGTTACTTTTCTCAATGCTAAGACAAAATAACACCAAAAGTGAAAGAAGGAAAAGCTTATTTTGGTTGACACTCTGTAAGAGTTTCAGTCCAGAGTCAAATGGCTCCAAGGCAGGGTGGCATGGCAGAAGAGAAGAGTCCATGGCAGGTTAGACAAAGGGCAACAAAACAGCAAGCCTGCCTTCTTTCTTTCCCTTTATATTCCATCCAGGCTTAAATGTATTGACTGGTGCCACCCCTACCCAAGGTGGGGCGTCCATCCTATACACTCAGAACTATTCTACATCAGTTTAGTTATCACATAATCTTAATTCCAGTGTGAAACATCTATGATTCAGCTACCTCCCAAAAGCCCCACTTATGAGTGCAGGAGGCTTTTGGGGGACTAGATACAAGGCATAACAAAAACAAAATTTTGTCATTTGCGGGAAAATGAATGAAATAAAATCATGTCGAGCAAAACCACCAATATTTAGAAATACAAATATCATTATGTTCTCCCTAATACGTAGAATCTAAAAAAGATGACAAGAAAATAGAATGGAAGCCATGTATGGTGGCGTGGCAAGGCAGGGTAGGAAAAGGAGGAGAGGACAGTGGAAGAGGAGAGGGAAAGGGAGAGACAGGAAAGGGAGGACAAGACAGGAACAAGGGGGGAAGATTTATCAAGCA